TTTCACCAATGCTAAAAATAATGAGGAATCCAAGTGACACACATTTATGGCTAGGAGTGCCATCAGATCCCTTGACCTAATTGAGCATGCCTACACACCTTAGAGTGTTTTGCATAACCAACTTAGACAGCAGGAACATTTCCAACCAGATTGATTGACATATTTTATTTCTAACTTAAACTTAATCATGACCAAGAATGATTCATTTATGCTTTTCAAACTTTGGGAATTGACACAGGAGACAACTAAGCTGCAGACTCCAGTGTAAGCAATCATGTAAAGGAAAAAAAAAATATTAATATAGTTTATTAACCTACTTAGCTGCTGAGGTCGATATAATAAAATGGATTAATTAGCTGGTAGGGGAGATACTTTATTTTATAAAATAAATGTCAAACTAGATTTTTTGCAGGAAAGGTTTTGTCCTAAATCACTCTCCCACTAAACATTTCTCTTAAGCCATATACAGAATCTAGACACGGCACTGTAAGGTGCCACTTGATTTTTTTGTGTGTTACAAGCCAGCTGGACAAGAGCTCATCTCCCAGCAATAACCACATTGACTCTCAAATCAAGACAGTTCTCTCTGTGCTTTTAAGGCATAAACTACCTCCAAATAAATATCAGCAGTTTCCACATGCTGTGCCTTAAACAGGGACAAAGCCTAATAGAATAGGCTGTAATAAAAGTGCTATTTCCAGCATGTGTGTATGTGGCTGCTCTACGCTGAAAATGTCCTTTAGCACTTTTTAACCATATTCTCTAGTGTGTCAGCAAAGAGACTCCATCAGAGTATTTAACATTGCTGGGAGCAAAGGAATAAAGTGGAGTCACTGTTGATTATTACTCATTAGCCACAAGGACATCCACTTAACATCTGAATAAATGAATGACACCATGTCCTAATGGAAATGGCCTCAGTGTACCTTTAAGCAAAATGTTGTTTAATATCTTCCATTTGCTGAATAGTAAAGAGGCCTGTTGGACATGCATAGTTAGCAAGCAGTCATTGTTGCTTTGTTCCAATTTCAGCATTTAATAAAAAAAGATGTTGTCTTGACTGTAGCAGAGGCCTCAAAAACCAGGGTAGCAGTACAGTCTTGTCCTCATTCTGTAAATCCATCCTAAAGGGTTAATATCCATAAAGCAAATGAAGCCTTAGAAGGTACAAGTTCTTCATTATTCTGCTTTACATTCAAACATATAAAACAAAGAACATCTGATACCTTTATTGGTTTTCATAGATAAAACACAAACAAGCTATGAGCCTTAATTTTCCTATTACCATTTGTTAACAAGGAAGATAACACTCTCAAAAGTACTTGATTAGGACTCCCTTTGATTTGTATCATGTTATGATTTCCACAGCATATATTTTTGTATTATTACATTAGTACACTGATCGTTCTGATCAAAGTGATAAAAAGAGGTATTTTAAAAGTGTAAATATTAACCAGGTAAACCACATAATCTGTACAGCATTTTGAATGCTGCCATGCTGAAGCACATTTTGGGAGACAAATCACAGCTTAGAGACACTCTCCTATCTGGAATGCTGGTAGGCTGGGCTGGAGGAGCCCTTTTGCCCTCAGACTCTTGCAGCAGTAACTTTTATCATTCACAACTTATTCCTTTTAGTTTTTTGCAATACAGCTACTGAGAACAAACAGCTGCAGGAATAATATTAAAGATAATAGCTATATCTTATATCTAAAAACTCATTCTCAGAATCCATACTGGAATGGATTTTTTAACCTAAGGAGAATAAAAGCAGGTGCATTAGCTAACATTACAGATTTGGGGAGTCATTTGAATGCATGGTCAGATACCTGACAGTGAAAACTGTGCAGGATCTTTTCTGTACTCTGATAGTGTTGCCTGTGTAACAGTTAGCAGTGCATAAGGCAGCTCACCGGTATTCCTCAGCTCACAGGGCTTTCTCCTGTCTCATCCTGGGCTGTGATGGGCACTTTGGCTGCCGTGAATGGGAAGCCCGACACGGCCCACTACGCCCGGCAGGCTGCTCCCAGCAGAAGTGGGTCTGACAAGTTGGAAGTCTCTTTCTCCTGCCTCCTCCTCCTCGCCGGCGCTTCCTCTGGCTGGCCCCGCACAGACAGAGTGAGCAGGAGATGATTACATCAATCAGTGTCAGGTCTGGGAGCTGTGATTTATAAATATGCATAATGAGCTCTCACCTTTGAGAAGGACTAGCTAGGGAGATAATTGATTAGACAGTTTCATTAAGGAAGGTGTGACTCTGGCATGTGGGATGATGTAGTGAGGCAGGCCTGGCTGGGGCTCTAGTGAGGCTGTCAAGCTGGGAGAGCAGCTTCTAAAAAAAATACAAGTAGGATTTTTAATGTTTTGTGGAAACATGCATAACAAAATGTTTCCTCAAAAAATTATTGGGAATTTTCTCCACATTAGGGAAGCTGGGCAGGCACAAAGGCTGCTTTCCCCCTGCAGGGAAGCCAGGTTCTCACTTCCAGAAGCCAAAGGGGTGGCTTTCCCATGGCTGCCACGCCGTCACCACTGCCGCGGGAGCATCCTGGATGGTGAGGGCAAATGGAGAGGGCTCTGCAGGGACAGGGAGCCAGGAGGCTTTGTGGCAAAGGAGCCTCTAATGGAGGTGAAAAGCAGGAGATGCAATTGTTCTCCCATCGTGGGCTCATTACTTTCTTCCATCCCCTTTCAGCATCTGTCTGGCCACTGCGTGAAAGTTTCTGTAGAAAACCCACCAGGATGTCCAGAGGAAGGGGGTGTGGAAATTTGCCTCTAGCTTCCCTCCCCCTCCCATTTTACCTACCATTAATCTTTTTTTAAATTTATTTTTCCCTCAGCAAGAATTGACTAAGGAAAAAGAAGGATACAAAGTGCACAGAGACTGGGTAAAATTTACACGAGAAACCATCCGTTTTCTAACCACCCACCCACATTTTCCCCTCCTTTCAGAAGCCTGCAGGAGCAAAAGAGGGGGAACAGTTCCTGGAACAGAGACAGAGCTGCAGGGGCTGCAGAAAGGCAAACGCCGTTCCCAGAGTGAGCTGTGGCCGGAGAGGTCGTATGTGCAAAGGGAAGGGGAGTGGGGGGGAGGCAGCAGAGATGGCAACACTGACACAAACTCTGCGGGTCTCTTTCCCGGCCTGTCTGGAGGGGCAGGGCCGGCTGGGCTGCAGCCGTGGCTGCTGGCCGCCCGGGGAGGCTGCAGGCACGCACAGCATGAGGGGTCTTCCCAAACAGCCTCCCAGGCACAGCCTGCCTGGGAGAATATTAACCGTGAAATATTAAAACACAGATATAAAAGGTGTGCATACACACAGATATATAGGATAAACAGATACACCAATTTTTTCACTTACAATCGCCTAGGATTTAAAGTGTAGTTTATCGGCCTAGTGCAACCCAATCCTATAAATAATACATTCCTATCACTATGACCTCAAAATGTCAATACTGCGCAGCCCTGCACATTTGCATATCTTGTACTGTCTAAGCTTGAAGCATGTCAGCTATGTGCTTCTGTTTGTACTTTAACTTCGTTTTAACTCCTGCTTCCTAGCTCTGAGCTCCCTCCCCCTCCATAGAGTCTGTCACCAAAATGAGAAAAGCACCAGCTATTTAGTCACCACCTCGGTAATTACACCATTTCCAGGATTGTAAGGAGAGTAAGGGTAGGGGGCGAACACCCCCTGGACGGAAATGTTAGGAGAGCCTGGGAAGAAGAGCTGGCCAGTGAGCCCTGCCTGCCCCGGCTGCCCCTCCGGCCGGGGGCAGGGGATGGGCACGGCCACCCGCGGGCCCCCACTGCCAAGGGGAACAGGGAAGACAGGAGGGGAAGGGGAGGGGAACTCCCCCTCCCACCCCCCCACTTTGG